AATCGTCTGGTGAAGCCTTTTTATTTTGCGATACAGCTCCTTCTGGAATGGATAAGATTTTGAGTCTCTAAGTCTAATTGGATCTTTGAATAAGTACAGGATAGACTAGGCACACATCAGTCTAATCCGGCTGGGGATTGGTAGGATTGGTACCAGTCGGGCTTGTTACTAGCTAGGCTTGGGTTCCAAAAATATACGAAATGCGAGACTTAGTTTTATATAGCTACGTCAAATGTATAATCTTTGAGTGCAAATATGCAATGAGTGCAAAGTGCAATAAATTATGATTTCCATGTTGAGTTTACAAAGTTTATAACAGACACTTCCTGCCTTAGACTTAAAGGTGTCTGGAGATTGTCAGGCCATAAAAAACACTAGGCAAAGATTTGTTCGTATTTTTAACGAAAAATAAGATCAAACTTCTGGGAGGGTGCTCTTTTTTGAAGTAAAAAGAAGCACGAAAAAAATTGAAAAACGCTGACATTTATCACAGTGAAAATGAGGAGTACATGTTTAGGAAAGAGAAAGGCGTTTCTAGATACATCTCCTTGTCGCGTCACCGGGATACGGACAGACGGAACTCATCCATCCTTAAATCATATGTACACGTTCAGCGGAAACGACAATCAGGAGCATCATATAAGCATCACATAATCGTCATGAAGGAGGAGTGACATATGTCTTGAGTAGCATCCTTCATCAGTCTATAGCATAATGTGTAAAAATGGAAAGTGTTGTAGTTAAACAAAAAACTAATAAAAACGATAGTTATATTTGCACCTCATCTAGAAAACTCACAGGCACAATAGCCAAGTCTGAAAAATACTTTGAAACACTTTACTTACACATCTTTCTCCTAGTCTCAGCTAATACCAGTTGCAGACTCTAACACTGTGAATCACCCTAATGTACACAAAATCCTGTATGAAACTCTATGTATTAACTGGTTCGTTCATTCTCAACCTACGCTACTAGACCCAAAGCATTATTAGCTAATATTTTGTATCTATTTGACTGCGAGTCACCAAGAACTTCTTATTCTCCAGCACTGGGAGGAGCCCTTATTATGTACTTGAGTGCATTTTAGTGGTAACTGATGCTATCGGTCATTTAAGAGATCATATCGCATGCATCCGAGTGGTATTACGAAAAAGACGTTTGCCGGCCTCATTATTGAAAAACATTTGTTTTCATGTAGGCTTCACCCGGAAGGAAGGGGACGTCGATGTTGCAGCACCCATGGGGAAATTTTATCGACTTTTCACGCCTGAGGGACAGTGAAATGTCAACTTGGACTTTTTCACGACATTTTGTTGGTAAAGACAGAAAGTTTCACGACAGTTTGATCGTGTTATTGCAGCATCACACGCGCGATCACGCGTGAAAAATCTTCACACGTGTACACAAGTGAACAATCTTCACGCATGATTACGTGTGGAAAAATCTTGACCATGTCGACCATCTATAGTCAACTGACTATAGATGGTCACCATGGTCAAGGTATAATGCAGTCTTCATCAATGCAGCTTCATCTATAACTTTTTCCACGTGTGACCACTAGTTTCTAAAATATCACATTTTTTATATATCACCACAAAGTAAGAGTCGAACCAGGGTACTTTGAATTAGAAACCTACGATACTACTATTGAGCTAACTTGCCTGAGAAACTACTGAATAAATCTCATATTCATACTTGTCGAATCAATCTTCACGAGTTACCACGTGTAAAAAAGTTCTCACGCGTGATTACTCGTGAACCTCCTAAATCTTTTTTCTTAGTTTTCAACTTCTTCAAACTACTTTAGTTAATACTTCCTCCCGGGCAGTCCATTGTCATGACTTCTGGCCCGATGAGGCAATATTGCCCGTTCTGGCAAGATATATTGCCTGAAGAGGCAGTATGGTCAGATCGGGCCAAGAGTACCTTGCTCCTTTCGGCCAGATTTCCACATTTTTCTCTCGCAACGCATCAGCGTAGAAATGAAAGCGATGACGCATTAAGAGACTTATTCCACTTGAAAGAGCATCAAAAACTGTATAAGATGACGCTTACCTACAGTGGAGAGGTGCTTGTTTTTTCAGAGTAGGGAAGAAGCATCTTCTAGGGATTTATTGCCGAAACGGGCAATATGCCTTGCTCGATCAGGCAGGAAGCCTCATTCTTGACATCAGCATGTGCTATTGAAGTAAATAATTTGGCCTGAATGACTTTATTAAAGAAATGAAAAAAACTTTTTTCTCGTATACGTCTTTATATAAAGAGCTACGTGTGCTATTTCGATTTTCTACAACATCTAGTTTTTAAAGTATAAACGATAGTCTGTCTGTCGACATATTCTTTATTAGCAAGACTCGAATGATGTCGGCTTTTGCTGCGAGATGTGTGAACCATATTTATACTTTCAAAATAATAACTTCACTTTTCGAACTTGAAGAGAAAGGCTATTCGACGGTATTTATGCAGACGAAATACAACTTAACTAGTGTTAGAAAAATAATTGTGAAACAGAGGTTCTGATCGTTTATTATATAACTATTTGTTGGTGTGTTATGATTTTCCCTTTTTCTCTTGTGTACATGGACATTGTTTAGAGACGCATGCTTATAATGTTTTGTATATGTACATGTGTATATACATTCTGTTTTTTCTCATTGTTATTCATGTAACGAAAACAATGAAAAGAAAGAACTCTATCTAAGGCAAGTTGCTCGTTCGAGCAATATTTTCCGATCAGGCAAGTGACAACGGACTGCCGGGGAACAAGATGATTCCCAGGCATATTCCTACAGAAAATACCTTCGGTCCACAACAAAGGTTTTCATCTGTATGTACGTACAACTTTCGAAATATATAGGAGAAATTTGTATTTATGCTTGCTGCTTAATTTTCACGACATTTCACACCTGTAAAAGGTTTCACTCGTGGACGTGCGTGAAACGTAAGAATTTTGTCGCTTGCGGTTAAGCGTGAATATTATTCACGAAATGAGTTGCGTGAAACATTGACGTGCGAATAAACGTGAAGATATTTTTCACAACGAAATTAGTGGGAATCACTTTCACGCGTGTCCGCAAGTGATATTTTTTACGAAAATTTTAACATGAGAAATTCACATGTGGCCGCTACACACTTCACGACTTTCACCTGTGATCACGTGCGAAAAATATGACGTGAAACGTTTTCGTAATCAGTTCACTTGTTGTCACACGTGGAATATATTTTTCACGCGTGCCCACACACCATTTTACGACGTTCACGTGCGACCACAATTCATTTTACGATATTCACGCGTGTACACACCGCGGTACCTACTAAAATTTCCCCATGGGCACCGTACAGTTTGGATCTACGAGTTTATCTTTGTTGGGAACACTGAACAAATTATTTCAGTTGTAGAGAACAGAGAGGGATGGTGTGGTAGTGTAAAGATTTTTTTCCAAGTTATAGCAGAATCCCGTGTGTTTGTTTTCTACGTTTGCTAAATTGAAGGATACAAATTATAGTAGAACTTAATACCTGTCGTATTTGGTCTTGCGACAACGGAAGATGATGTAGGTGGTGTCGTCCTAAACAGAATAAATAAAAATATATATATATCGAAGTCGAGAATATAAATGTAAATATGATATACTCAATAAAGTGGCATTCTTGAAAGAGCTCTGTAACATCGTCGCTGACAAGAACAAAGTGGCCACTGGTTTTTGATTTAAATTTTCCTTGAAATATTCTTCTAGTAATGCTGCTGAGTATGGTATTGAAATTTTTAACTGCTGAAATTACACAGTCTGGAATAATGATTAGTATTCCCACGTCCAAGAACTACAGCTTTTCTGTCCGGAGATTAGGAAAAAGTTAGTTGTTTTAAAATCTTTATCGTCTTTATTGTCAGACGAATGGTTGAAACTGGATTAATACGTAAGAAATGGCATGTTGTTTGTGCAAAAATGTAGTATGTTACTGACATTATCTGATTGATGTTTATATTTATATAGTCTATTTTGTATATCACTTTTAGTTTATAATATCATACGCCAATAAACTATTATAATTCATATACTTTAGCTTGTGTGAGATGAGAATTATTTTTAACAAGAATGTTTCCATTTAATTCCAATATTTCCCACACACTTTGAGTCCAATACTTCCTCATCCTCATGCTTTTTTCCAACTTATCATAGATATATGTATCAGTATGTGCCGAGACTATTTTCTGTTGTGTAGTTGTAGTAACAATGGAGAACAATGGGCTTTCTTATATGTATCATGTTATAATAGAAGAGAACGGATAGATTGGAGCGGATAAAGCAATAAACGCATTCCATACGCCATCAGTAACAATACTGGATATGAAAGTCATGGTTGAATGAGCAAATCTATGTAGTAAAAGTAATATGTTGATTGCAGTAGAAGGTCATACAAGTGCAAAAAGCTATCATTACTTTTTGCTTTCTGTTTCAATCCCGTATTGTATCGCTAATGATTACGGCGTTATGAACCTTTCTGACTTGTGACAGTTAAATTCTATTGCACTACACAACTTGAAATATATGTAAGTATATGAAAAGCTGCTTTTCGCAGTTTAAGAAATGTTTGGTTTATATTCTAGGCACGTACCATCCTGTGTGATCATCTCATCCTTTTTTATCGCTCCTGCACGTTTATCTCTACGGGATTAGTCGTGGTCTCCACTGATGAGTAAACATCGAAACTACTTGTTTATTTTAATTTTCTTAGTAATTCTATGTATTTTATTATGGATACTGTTTTATTATTTCCGCGTTAGTTTGTATAATACATCTGACAACAGGTCAGATATTATTGTCTCGTTGACAAGTACTTCTCTTCGGTTTTGCGGCGAGCTACCATTAACCATACATTCACTACTATCACAGACAATTTTACCGAAAGAAATTCGGCTTTATCTGTCACATGTACATCGTAATAAGATTTCAAAGCCAGTGTTAAAGAGATACTTGCAAAATGTAGACGATTCCAACATGATACCAATACTCTACGATAAATTAGTTTATATTTATTTTGTCGCTGATCGTGGACCAGCAACAAAATTCTTGTCAATCTTAGAAAGTAGTCATAAACGTTTCTCGTCCAATCAGCTTATATTCATCTGTGATGATGATCATTACTATCATTCACATACATTTTCCACATTGCTCTTCTATGAACAACTATTTAAAGACGCTGTTATCGGATTTCGAGGTTGGAGAATACGTAAAGATTTGAGATGGGGCGTCGAAAAGTTAGAGAAATTTTGGCATATTGTTGCAACGAATCGGATTTCTGAACCGTATCGTGTCGGTATTGTCACTGCTAACTATGGTTATCTCATTAAACCGCGCTTTTTCGATGAACACATTTATGTTGATTACACAAAGGTTAGTAAAAGCATTTCGTTGGTCGATGACATATGGCTGAACGGTCATTTAGCTCGTCGAAATGTTGCTCGTTACGTTTTACCATCGTGTTGTTCTCAGATTCATATTGCTGAAACACATGCACTTGAAAAACAATTAGCGAGTAAAAATCTAACACGACAACAAGCAAATGATCGCGCTTTGTATTATTTTAAAGATTACTGGGAACGTGATCTATTTTATAAGCGAAATGGCACAAATCATCCAAAATACACTTCTTCAATAAGAGGAGTTCTCTTTCAGACTAAACTGGTATCACGATCTGGTATTAATTATTGTGCTTGATCACTTTGTGGTTACAGTTTTTCATGCAAACGCTATTTTTCAAAGTCGAAAACTCTTTTTCGATGACAGTTCATCTTAGCGCAACACGTTTAACTTTAAAGGAAGCAATCTTAATTTCAAATCTGAATCCTCAACCATCAACATAGAGATCTACTTCTTGTATAAATTTCAGCCCAATCTGTGACATCAACGGTCAGTATCTATCTGACCCTATTAGATAGTGATCTGCAACAGAAAAAAGAAGTAGCCTGTTCTCGAATGATTTATACAAACGCACTGTTATACTAACAGACACGCAGTCTTAGGTAATAACCATGATGTGGAAACTTTTAATTAAATGTAGATCAAGATAAGATTAATTAATAAGAATAGATTAAAGTCAGATTAATGGATAAATTCAAACCGCTCCAAATACGATCCGGTCGAAACTAAGATTAATAATCCGACAACTTTATGTAGAACGAAAAACACGTCTGTTTTGACAATTTCTACAGTGCGGGCCAATTAAACTTCCTACTTTGTTTATATTAATAAACTTTATTTGCGTAATGATAGTTAATATATAGCGGGAATGTATAAATGTTACTGCATTGCATGACATATTAACCCAGAACAACAAATAAAGTTTACAAGAAAATACGTATACTAAAAAAAAATGGTATATTTATTTACTACAATGTACATGTACATCTATACTGTAATGAAGAAAAGTCATAGATTTATAATGATGGCCGGTCATACTACTCATCGACCCCATATGTAATGCCACATTTACGATATGCATTCCTAATTCCAGCTTTCGGTAATAAATGAAACGTTGTGAACATCTATCAATCTCGTATCCACAGGTCTGATGTAAAGGGATGGACACAATAGAGGACCCGGGTCTTATATCGTGTCCTAGTACTCATAACTTTGATCGGGGTCTTCTAAAGCTTCCCTAAAAAGAGCCGATTTTGAACTGACGTGAAATCGATGATCGAGCGTTGGCACTGTGTACAAAGTTGTGTACGCACACACGTGCACACTTCTTTTTGTCTGGTAGCTGTGGATTCATTCTAAGAGCTGAGGAAAAAGACGAACGCAGAAATTAGTACTTGACTAAACTCAAATATCATCATATTTTACGTAAAAAAATCGATAAAAAAAGCGGGTCTTCTAACGTGGTTTTTGCGTTATTAGTTCAAGAGAGGTCTTGTAACAGAGGGGGTCTTCTATCGTAGGGGGGGCCTCTATTATGTCCATCCCTTTAGTTTTCCTCCGTGATTACAACTAGCACCTTAAAAAAACCATCTTGCCCCCCTCCTTGGGAAAATTTTCGCATCCAAACTTTTCTATCGTTAGATGAACTTTACTTAAAGTATTTTCCTCATTTCTTCTCTTTTGCTCAAAGGAAACCTCACCTACTGTATATCATTCGATAGAGAATTTCACGGGCTACAAAATGATATATAAAATATTGAGAATACACATTGAGGAGAAAGACATTTTTTTTCGTGTTTTCCGACTATTTTTGCAGACATGGCGCTTTTCTTAAGATGAATGCTGTTTGATGAAACAGCGCTGTAGAGAGCTCAGAGGAAGGGGGAAGCGACCTCCCAAAAGGGTGCACACACTTATAAGTGGCAGTTACTTTAAGCGTCACTTAGTCACTTTAAGTGACACTTCAAGTGTCACGTTTATTTTTCTGTTTGAACAAGATTTGAGCAGTAGTGATAGTAAAGTCTCGTTTCGCCACTTCAACTTTCGCCAATAGACATTCGCCATATGGGCGATTGGTGAATGTCGCCAAGACATTTGCAAATACTGATATCCCTAAACTATTGACCACTGTCCACACAACATTCCCCATAATTGGCAAATGTCTTGGCGACAGTCACCAATAGCTATCCTCAGTATTCATTTGATAGTCCGTACTGAATGTTTAAAAATAAGAGACTATCACCTCCCTCTATTAAACAACCTTTGTTTTCTGCTTAATTTTTTCACACTGCACATCACGTTGTTTTCTCGAAAATGATTTTGTTACGATCGCTCTTTCACAAGTGTGTATATGAGCACCTTTTGTTTTTTTTCTTTTTCTTTTTTGCTCAAAAGTTACGTAATATTGAATGTTTATGTTGCTTTATAAAAAGAAGTCCAGAGGTGTATGAGATCTTTTTTCTCGTACACATTTTAATGCCCATGCATGTGTCAGAGCTGGGCAAGTCAAGTCCAAGACTTGACTCGGTCCAAAATCTTTTGGGGTATGACTTGACTTGACTTGAGAAACTTGTTTCAAGTCAAGTCATTTCTGGTAAGAGATCTCGTTTAAATTAGACTTTTTCTACCATGAAAGAGAGTTTCTGAGGCTATAAAAACTCTCTCACCCAAAAAGATACTAGCAAATTTTATGTTCTGCCTAATTTTAACCAGACTCGGCTTGACTTGGAGGAAAAAATTTCGAGGGGTGATTTGGCTTGACTTGAGAGAAAAACTTTCCGACGTCGACCTGACTTGACCTGAATTTTTTTAGTGACTTGACTTGACTTGACTTGTGACTTGCAAAACTCCTGACTTGCTCAGCTCCGGCATGTGTTAGAGCTATTGACCGACAGCTAATGTCTAACTGATATTCTTCCTTGATAATTACCTTTGTTCAACTTTAAACGTTCGATTTTGTTTCAACTATTTCATTCTTCTCAAGTTTTTTACTGATATTTGTAGATGCTTTCTAATTTTGTTCATTAAAATGATGAAAACAAACAGACTTGTATCACGCGGAACAGCCGCAGTTCATACATTTTATATTTTGGAACATATAGGGCTGAATTCTTGACTTTCCAGGAAGAAGCGCAGGTTAAAGTGACACTCCAGAACTTAAACACTTAAAGTGACACTTAACCCGGAGGTGCACACACTTAAAGGCACTTAAAGTGAGGTTTTTCCCTCTTAGCTCAGAGGTGTCTTGATTTTCTCAGCAATCTTTTCTGTACACGATGAGGCTATTACAAAAAAAGTATCAGTCGAATAGACATGAGGTTTTATAGACTTACAGTTCTCCAGAGACCTGGGTCCTGGCAATTTCAGTGGAATCTTGATTTGCCACAGACTAGATCAGAAACTCCTTGAGCTATTCAAAACTTTCCTCACATTTGTTGTAGCTATTATCTTCGAGGAGAAAAACTGAAAATAAATCTGATTCAATAGTTTTGAGCGCCACCATAAATAAAAGTCGCAACAGTCATATACTATTCAGTATATAAGCAGTTAACACGATACTTTTTGATTGATTTGTTTGAAATTGAAGTACGTTAAATTCTGCATTTTTTCTATATCATAAGCGTTTCGGGTCCGATTTTGTGATCTATGTTGGAGGACGTTTGACATTGTGAGAAGCTGTCATGGTTAGTTATCATCGTTCACGTCTTCAACATCGTAATACACGTCAACATGGACGACTTTTAGCGATTCTTTAAAATGAGACCATACTCCACTTTTCAACTGGACTGGACTTTAATTTCTCAGGTTTTCTCGACTTTTACAAATAGCTGATATTCTAATACTCTTCATGATAAGGCGTAAATTATCCTTATATTGCTCACTGATTGAAATCATCTTTTTGTTACCTGTTTATAAGTAGTCTCAAGTTTATAGGAAATATTGCATTGTCACTTACGATTTCAGAAATAGAAATTATTTTAATTATCATCCACGTATACGATGATGTTAATTAATCAGGTGATTATTTGAACAATTAGAAAACCAATGATATTGACATGCACAAGTAGGCTGAAAAAATTTTAACATACGGTATCGTTTTTCGTTCCCTGTAGAGCAGTAAATGCTTGATAATAACGGCAGTTACCGTATCAAAGTATACTGAGAAATCAGCAGTAATACACAATGCAAGAGAACAAGCAACTAAGCAAAAGAGTTCATTAGATGCATATCTCTTGCAACTAGCCAACCAGCAGAAGCCAGTTTCGCTGCTTACGTAGTGTCACTTTATGACAGTGCAAATATTGTATCTATATGTTTTCGATATCGCTCTTTAGAATGGCATTAGGAGATTACACCCGTTTCAACCCTCAACCCACCGCAACAGAGGATGACAGTTACGCGTTTATTGATCCGTAACTCATGCTGATTTGAACCAGTTGATACGTAATTTCGAAAAAATGTGGGACAGATAACCAATGAATTCAGAGAATTTGAGATTATTATGTTGACAGAAAGTGACTGTGCGAGAAGAACCCAGACCGTGAAAAATGAGCCATAAATGACTCATTTATGTGCCGTATATGGCTCATTTTTAAATTATATCTCTTCCATATTTATCTCATTTATTGTATCATAATGTAGTGATAATTATGTCATTTTTTTATGGGATAAATATCATCTTATTATGGTCATCAAAATATGATCCTATTACGATCCTATTTAGATCATTTTTAGCTTATTTTAAGACCATTTTAAGACTATTTATGAGATAAGAAATGCACAGAAGAAAAAATACAAAACAGCTCGTGCAGAGATTCGAACCCTGAACCTGTAGATCAGAAGTCTACGATGCTATCCACTACATCACACGGCTATACAAATGTATATGTTTTTGTTCCTTCCGTTTTTTAATTTTCACTTTGAACTTGTTCAAAAAAAACTAGTAATTTTGATTAATTAGCCTCTAGTTCTTTTCACAAACACTGTGGAGAGTTCAGTCTAGAGACTAATAGATAGTAAACTTAAATTTCTGACATTTTTTACTTCTAGTCCCACCTTGGAAAATACTTCCTTCATGGCGAAAAACGGAAAATAAAGTCTAAAAAGGGTTTTCGAGGGTCGGTTTCGGAGTAAAAAATATCAGAAATTAAGTTTACTATCTTTTAATCTCTAGGCTCAACTCTGTACAATGTTTGTGGAAAGTAGTAGAAAAATGACACATAAATGTCACATCTAGGATCCTAGAGATATGATATAAAAATGATACATGAATAGATCATTTTTAGATTATCATAATA